AATCACACGACTAATCGATGACAATGCTATGAAACCGATGACAATGCTATGAAACCGAAGATAATGTGGTGAAACCGATGACAATGCTATGAAACCGAAGATTACTTGTCGTGAAAACGATGACAATGTTCTCATCCCACCCCCCCACCTTTCGACGTAGCATCAACTTCAGATAGCAAGCGCAAACGAACGTCAATATGCCCCATCCCACCCCACCCCGACCCCCCCACCTTTCACGTAGCATCAACTTCAAAAATCGCAGTAGTCACACGTTCGGTTTTACACCCGTAGGCTTAAACATAATAATCACATATTTCATGCACATCAGTTGGGAACACTTGATGATCGATTTGATTTACTGTATGGCTTTTACTCGGCCTTTGTTTGTTTGACATGTTCATTTGCAGCTTTTCCCCTAACTAACGTTTGAACATTTGGAACTGACCGTCGGACGTTCTCCAGGACTTCATTTCTCTTGATTCTCTCTTCACATGTTTCAAGTGAATTGGTGTCCGGGTTTTTAACTAGTTCTCTTCTACCGCCAGAAATCCTTGCCGGGCTTCGCTTGGCCTCAGGAGAACTTTCTGTCAGAGCGGCGCGTGGCGATAATCTTCCGACGTGTTCGTGGAATACCATCAACTGAGTCCAAATGTGCACAAGCCGAAGATGCTGCATTGGAAAAGGGAGGCCGGGCACTGATGTGATTGCTCATATAATGCTTTCATTCCGGCCAGTGTTATTGACGACAGGCAAAGGTGCCGATATCCGCGCTGGCAAGACACAACAACATGCCTTGGATCCCTGGCCAAATATGCTTAGGCGGTGCAGAATTTGGACTGGTACCACTGACTGGAATTGTTCAGAATGGTGAGACAGGTCTCAATCATATACCATCACCAAAGAATGGTTTGCAGCTGCGCTTTTCGTCTTCAGAGGTCATCAGCAGCAACTGGCCTGATCCTGACGTCTCCGCAGCTGGTCGTGTGACAGCTGGACGGTTGCAGATGTTGCGGCGCTTGTGCGCTGAGGCAAGGCATCAGCATTTTCCCTTTTTGACACGTCCAGAAAGGCTTTGTGATTGGTGAGGACCACTATATAGCGAACATTGGCAAACCCGGTGAATGGATCTCTATAGAATGCGGACCATTGACATCTACAAAATTGCTATTTGCTATTCATGCACCCATCCTATAGTGAGGGTACCCTGGATGAACAAGGCCGGAGCCTGAACATACATTGCGTTCTATAGAGTTTATGGGTTTACGTGGTTTCCCACTTCACATCCCGCTCCGTAGAGATGTTTTTCTATAATATGCGTGGTCCAGTACCCTATTCACTGGGTATACTCTTGCTGGCGGCTAACGTTTCTTCATTGAACTATTTTGCGAAGCGGGAAGCCAATGATGTTACCCACAGCGAATGATGCAACTACTGCATTCTGGCCAGGATGCCTCCGCATCAAGTGCCGTGACCTTTGCATCTCCGGCTCGGCCTGGGAATTCAAAGGGAAAACTGCCGACAGCTTGGACAGCTTGGCACAGGCGTTTTGCTCATTGTGCAAGTGTTTATCACTAAGCGTGTGACCGGAAATTCATTCATGCGTCACATTGGTAAGTTACACACACACACACACATATATATATACAGTGGAGGACGGCAGTTAGAATATGAAATTCAAACACTTCCGTTCTAAATTGATGCCCCAAACCTTCCAAAATCGATGACCCTGGGGATGACCCTCGCAGATAGAATATGGGCCTTTCAGAAAGCAGGGGGGCATATTCTAACTGCCAGTCCAAAACCAGGATACCTTGCAGAGACAAAGCTAGGCCTCCAAGCCTAATAGTGATGGCCTCCAACCCAACAGCAATGGCCTCCAACTTAAGAAATAGCAATGGCAATGGCATCCACCCTAATAGCGATGGCGAGCGATGGCCTCCAGCTTTAGACCGATGGCCCAGCTTAAGACCGATGGCCTCCAACCAACCTAACAGCAATGGCCTCCAACTTAAGAGCGATGGCCGATGGCCTCCAACCTAATAGCAATGGCAACGGCCTCCACCCTAAGAGCCATGGCCTCCAACCTAAGAACGGTGGCCTCCAACTTAAGAGCGATGGCCTCCAACCTAATAGCAATGGCATTGGCCTCCAGCCTAAGAGCAATGGCCTCCAACCTAAGAGCGATGGCCTCCAACTTAAGAGCGATGGTCTCCAACTTAAGAGCGGTGGCCTCCAACCAGAAAGCAGGGGAACATATTCTAACTGTCAGTGCAAAACCAGGATACCTTGCAGAGACAAAGCTAGGACTCCAAACCTAATAGCGGAAGCCTCAAACCTAATAGGGATGGCCTCCAACTTAAGAGCGATGGCCTCCAACCTAATAGCAATGGCAGTGGCCTCCACCCTGAGAGCAATGGTCTTCAACCTAAGGGCGATGGCCTCCAACCAGACTGCAGGGGAACATATTCTAACTGTTAGCATTCTATTTATATACTTGCCGCAAAATCACCGCGCTTTTTTTTTTGGACAAGATTGTTTACAGTACTCGGTTCGTTGTGTCTTTATATTCTAACTGCATGTGGTCTCCGATCTTCCCCCTGCTCCGTGTAAAGCCATATTCTAACTGCATATAGGAAAAAACGACTTCTAACTGCTGGTCCGCCATAGTATATATATATATATGTATATGTATAACAATGCTCGTCGCCAGTTTGGCGGATCAAACCAGCAAGGTCTGCAGCAAATGGTGTGAACTGCATTCGTGCTTTGGCAAGAAGCAATAGCCCGTACTGTAGATGCCCGTAGCCGTTGTTTTTTCTTGGAGTAGTGGAGCTAAAGGGAGCGAGAGAGAGAGAGAGAGAGCGAGCTTGAGTGACGTAGTAGCAGAAACATTTGTCTCATCAACTTAGGCATCAAGTTAAATGACGAAGCATCGGTGATGTCAGCTCTGGCAGCTTGCCTCTTTTATACCTCATGTCCCACTTAGTCAAATGTGATCATGCACGTGACAAAACATAGTCAGGTCTTCTCTTTCCGTGCCGCATTCCAATTTGCTGTGGAATTGTATATCGGAAAGGGTTGAAACTTGAAACTGAATAAACTACCTTTGATCCCGGTCACATGAGGAGGCGGCCGGACATCCAGAGCTTGTGCTTTTTGATGGCTTCAACACAGAGGAAAGGCTACTAGCGGGGACAATATGTTCTGGTATAGTATATCATTGGTTGCTGAGTGCTTAGGGCACAGGCACTCCGCTCACCGTCAGCCACTTGAATGTTTGGAGGTTTGGCCACTATGTGCACCAAGCTTTGCCCGATGCAATGCGAGTTCTCGATATGCAGGACTTTCATGCACTGCGACTAGGCCAGCGGAAGTGGTTCTTTTTGTTCTCCAAAAGATCGCTAGGCTCGTGCATTCAACACGTGCAGGCAGGGAACGGCTGATCGCTGCAGGGGTTGGCGCTACAGCAGTTGCACCTTGGACTGCAAGAAGGGGTGAGCTGGAGCAAGGTTCATAGTTCGGGTCAACTCTTCGATTGGAGACTTTGCAAGATGAAGACATTGAGAAACCCTACTTACTAGGGGCTCCTGGCATCGCTACTAGGAGCAAGGACGCTACTAGGAACAATTTTCATGACATTTTATCAGATGTTTCGAACCGACACTGAGAGACTTCCAGAGCTCCTTCCAGGCATCCTTTCGGCCACCTGCAGATGACGAGGACCTACAACGGGAACTGGCTTCAATCCACCGCTGTGATGCCACGCTGGCAATTTCGGAAGAAGAGCGGACGCTTTTGGTGGAAAGATATGGGATCCCAAGCTGGAAGGCTGCTTGGTACCTTGAATCAAGGAGCTTGCATGCAAGATCAAGCAACCCAGATTTTTCTAGAAACTGCTTCCTCAGGGCCTGACCTGTACCTGGCATGTCTTCCAACTGCAAGTTGTCTCTATATAGGCTGATTGATAGGACATCCAGGACAATGCCGCGACTACTGTCCGTCGGCCTTGCCAAGGTTTGTGCTGCACCCTTCGGCTTTTCCAACATCTCCGATGAAAGACCTAGCTTTAGCAGGCGTGACGGTGCGTTGTTCATTGGGATCCTTGGCACCGAGACGGTTTTTCATAGCAGACCCCAGACCCCATCCCCCAATTGCAAGCCAGTTCAGGATCTAATTGCACGGTTTTGAGGGGGAAATATATCGTGCATCATGCACTTGCTTCTTCGGAGGAATTGGCGGCATCGACCGAACAGAGACTGTGCACGATGGTTGGTGAAAGAGGTGTGGCCTTTGGTGCGGCAGGAGGTGCCGGATGCAGTTCTTAACGTTTATGGCGCCAACCAGACCCCAGAAGATGCCGCATTAGATGATCCCGCATGTGGCGCCCGAGCTCCTTTGATCAAGGCATTTTGTGGGAGTTTCTTTGTGTAAATGATTTGTAGTATTTTGTTGCTGCAGCTGTGGCACAGGAATTGGCCAGCCCGGCTTATGATGTGAAGCGACAGTGCCATCAACGATGTGTTAGGAAACGGCAAGACTACAGAACCGGAACCTAGTTCGAGACCATAGTAAGAACGGTAAGAAGCTTGACAATCTCGCAGCACAAAAGACACAAGAGCGGTGTGCCGTGTGCAGTGGAAAACTGATGAAAACTGCATCATTGAGCAATGAGGTGAGAGGCTACTGCCGGTCTGTGGAATCTGCAATGAAGTCTCACAAGCTGCTTGTTGCCCCTTTGCGCTTTGGTGCTGGTGTAAAGGGCAAAGCCTCTTAGCTGACACATGTAGCTTCCAAAATCGTTTTCGGAATGCAGGCAGGCCACCTCACTCCTAGTCCTAGTCCTCAGAATGTAGAAATGCAGTGGGCAAAATAATAAACATGGATCAACGTGAATGTTGGTAAGGGATGTGGACGTGCATTGCATGCAAAAGCAGAACTCAGGAAACAGACGCAACCACATGTATTCAACACCATTCAAGTACGTGCGGAATGCTCCACAGGTTCTGGCAAGTCGTTTTTCATCATTTTCCTTGACCATGAGGTTTGTGAGGTCTCATAATTTTACCACCGCCAAGAAACATTGCTGTAATTGCATTGAGATATTGCATGTTATTGCGTACGCCTCCATTTGTGTGCAGCTGGGAACTCCAAACCAGTTACTGTAATTAAGATTGTCAGCAGTGCTGTTTTCTTGAGGTTCTTGAGGCAATGCTGCATGGCCTTGTCGTGGTCACCACTCCAGTGGGAATAGAGGGCATAGCTCCAGAGAGAGAGTTTCCTGGCTATGTTGTGCAGAATGGTGGGGAGGACTGATGCATTGCAGCAGCTGCACCCATGGGGTTGTTTCGGTTGTTTGCTGCACGAGAACTATGTATCTATGTAAATATGTACGTACCGTGTGTGTGTGTGTGTCACACTCTGTATCTAAGAGTTTCTTCAGCAGGGGGCTCACGGGTCTGTTCCTGGCGTGAGCCAACGAAGCTCCAGGTTCAGACTAGGATATCGAAAGAGGACGCTCTTTCGACGTACCTGCACTTTTGACCACGCTGTCTAATTTGCTTGTTTGATTCCATGGTTCTTCATGCTACCAACCCCAAAACCTTGGTTTCTGCAGCTGCAGTGCGCCGCTCGTTTCGCCACCGCTGAGTTCTGCAGACACGAGAAACAACTTTTGTTCAAGCACCTACAATTTCTTGGACCTTTCGCCATGCGGTTCTCTCACCTTCCTTCCAAAAACCAATGTCAGAGTGTGAGCCGCTCAGTCGTCCCACTTGGGTGCTGGGTGTGATCCCCGTCACTGGGGCGCTGAATTCATGCCGGACTTTCACTAACAGCTTCTTTCGTTTCCACCGTTCGTTGGATTCTCCTAACCGACTTAGTTTCACTATTGAATTAACTGCCACTACACCGCCGCGCTTCATGGAATGCCAAGCCGCCGGGCCGCCGAGCTCAAGGAGAATAAACCCAAACGAGTTCTCTACCCACACACCCAAACCCCCCCCTCCCTAATTAGGGTAACAGAGGGAAATGGTACTCGACCCACTTGTGTGTCGGTGCCTTTCCCTCCGTTGTCCCTGTTCTAGTCTACTCTACCCGGGCGGTTTAAGACTAAAGTCCCGCTCCCAAACTATTGCACCTAATTCGTTTCCGCTAAGTAATCAGTAACTCTAGAGTGCTAAGTGTTCAGACACACACACACATGTACACACACATGGACATACACCCTCTCCCTGCCCCCCGCTTTCCTTCTTGCGTTTTTCGTCGTTTGTTGAGCTTTCTTTCAGGCTTTTTAGGTGGTTCTTGAGGTTCGTTTCCCTGCCCCAGTCACGGGCTAAGTATTCACCTTTTTCTACACCTATCTTTCTCTCTTGCCCTTTTGGCGCTGCTCTTTCTATTTTCTTTCTTTCTTTTCTAAGGCTTTTTAGGTGTCATTTAGGTTTTTATGCAAGAGCGCCGCAAAGCGGCTGAGTGTGTGTGCCACACTCTGTATCTAAGAGTTTCTTCAGCAGGGGGCTCACGGGTCTGTTACTGGCGTGAGCCAACGAAGCTCCAGGTTCAGACTAGGATATCGAAAGAGGACGCTCTTTCGACGTACCTGCACTTTTGACCACGCTGTCTAATTTGCTTTGTTTGATTCCATGGTTCTTCATGCTACCAACCCCAAAACCTTGGCTTCAAACAACTTTTGTTCAAACACCTACAATTTCTTGGACCTTTCGCCATGCGGTTCTCTCACCTTCCTTCCGCCTGGGAATTGCATAACTGAAAACCAATGTCAGAGTGTGTTACGTGTGTCAACGTGCCAGGCAGCTGAGTGACTCCAGAGATGTGTTTTGTCAATCAGACGTCGCAGCTTTAGTTGCAGGATGCTCAAGCATTTGCTGATGTGATAGTTCTAGCGCTGCGAGATCGACATCGATGGGAGGCTGAGACGAACGCATGTATATATATATATACATGTAATTTGCTGTCTGAGAGCAAGAAGCGGAGGTAGTCATTAAAAAAAATCCACGTTGAGCACAGCCGCAGGTGTTGCAAAAAGTGGCATCAGGGTTCATTGCAGAGCATTTTGACGAGAGCCTTGATTGGAGTATTCAGGGTACACAGGGTAAACGCGGCATTGCTGGTTGGCGCGCCTTGTCCGACAGAAACAATGGAATGGCCCAGTCTGCAAACCACAGCCAAGGGCCAAAGTGGAAAAGAGTCTCAGGCAAGGGCTAGTGGGTTCAACTTGAGTTGAAAGGCCGACTTCGAACCTGCATTGTTTGATGTGGAACCAGTTTTCCTGAAAGGCCCAAGATGCTGGAGCAAACCATTTTGACAGACTTAGTTACTCAAAGAATGGAAGCTTCCTGCAGCCTCAGGGGCTTCTTGAGAGAGCGCTGGAGGACTTTCATCCAAGATCGAGAGCGCAACTTGGCGCATTCAGTGTGTTCCTCAGAAGTGTTTTCGGCCAACACTTTAACCACCCTGACCCCCCCAAAACCTTGAAGCAACAATCGGCCGAACACACGGACGCACGGACGCATGATGTTGATGATTCTGATTCCGACGTTGATGATGATGATGATGAAGATGAAGATGAAGATGAATATGAAAACGATGATGATGAAGTTTATGATGATGACGATGATGATGATGTTGATGATGATGCTCATGGTGATGTTGACGGTCATGACATGACGACGGTGATGATACGATACACAATTTTGTTGCGATGATGATGTTAATGCTAACCTTTGCGATGTTGCTGCTGATGATGATCCTTGTGATGACGTTGGTGATGATCAATCCGGTTCTCAACTCCAATAATGACTTTCGAGAAAGCATACGAGAGCACACAGTTATTGTTGCAAGGGTTCTTGTACACACTATTGAGCAAGCAAGCTGGCGCTTCTATGAACTTCTATGGCTTTCGTTACGCCAATCATAGTTTGATGGTGATTGATTGTGATGATGTTGACGCTAATGGTGACAATGATGGTGGTGAAATGATGGAAGCCAGAATGGGTAATGAAGATATTGATGGTGCTGACAAGTTCATGCGCACAGGGGCGCACGAGCACGGTACAGGCCACACCAGGATTGTGATTGTGTGGTGCTGAAGATGAAGGTGACGATGGTACAAATATCGCCATCGTCATTACTATCCTTGTTCTGGTCGCCATCACCCTCATCACCATTATCAACAACAACAACATCATCATCATCATCACCATCATATCCATCATCTCCTCACCATCACCATCATCACCATTATTATCATCATCACTCCTCCATCATGCTTGCTATCATCATTGTCATGACCATCACCATCACCATCATCAAGCGATGATGAAGAACAAGAACAAGCATAATAAGAAGAAGAAGAAAAAAAAGAGAAATAAGAAGAATAGTAATAAGAAGAAGCATGAATAAGTAGATGATGATGATGATGATGATGATGATGATGACGATGACGGCGATGGAACACGTGCCTGGCTTTATCATTTTTAGCACGTTTTCAATGTTATATAAATATATAGTGGCCTGGCCAAGAAATCGGCCCCAGAGCTAGTATGAAATACGTACCTGTTCCCACCGTGAATTTGAAGTGTTTGGCCGGGCCCCGTATGCTTAAACAGTGTTCTATGGACAGAGAGAGAGGGAGAGATACATAAAGTAAAATTGATTCGAGATGAGGTAGAGAAGTGCAGAAAGAGAGGATCAAACTCATGGTTACGGAGTAGAAACTTTCGAACAGCAGGGATCAAAGGAAAGCAAGGGCAACTGGAGGTCAACGTTAAGGTGACCAAAGGCTGGATTCGTACATGGAAGTGCAAAACATGGAACCTGTTGCACAAACGGCAATCTTGCAACCTCGCTGATGCGGGGAGAGGTGAGTCTACTTGCATGCGGATCGGGTGGTAGGACTGTGGAAATTGACACTTCATTGCCATTTGGAAGTGTTGCCAACCGGGAAACATTATGCCGGAGCAGCGGAGATGTACGACATCGAGCCACAGGAAGGATTTGAAGGATTCACTGGCCACAGGCATCGTGACATCAGCGAAAAGCGTGGAAGGGGGGTAGAGTCGAGGCAAGATTGAGGATTGGACGTGTACCTGTGAAGAAGACCAAGTTTCACCAACGTTTGAAGAGCGAATGCTGCTTGATTACTTGAGTTGTCGCATCAATATCGAATAGTGTCATATAATTTCGACATGTTTGAGTACATTGTTCCTGAGGTTGATTTCAGGGGCTGTTGCATTATATAAATAGACGGAGGCAGACATGGCATGGGCACGTGCATTGGTGCGGAAACGCATTTGACATGTGAGCCGCTTTAACAGTATCGTCCAGTTGCTACTGTATTTCGCTGTGTGCAGCTGTGAGGTGACTATGTCGGACAGATGCTGTGGCACACATCCTTAAGATCCACACAACTGATGGCCTTTCGTCTTCAATTGTTGTGGCTCAACACACAATCTCTGTCAAAGTGGTGTCATTTCATGCCATTTCTATTGACTGAAACGTTGAGCTATTCAAATTCATCGGCACTCATATTGCTTAATTACGCAGATCCGCAGCTCCAAGGCAAACATTTGACCGCTAGGGTTTTGGGAACCACCATGCTGGATAGTATATTTTTGGTTGAACCATGAAGTAGGAAGTCCGCATCGGCAAGGCCAAGTACATCGCCGCCAAAGAAGAGAACCGAACATTGAAGGCTGACCAGGCCTCGGAGTTTGTTTTCTCATATAGGTCCATGTCAAGCCACTGGAGAACCGTTGTGAGGCCCAAAGAAGGCCCGCCGCCTAGTTGCGTGATTGGGAGCCCACCCGAAACCACGGCTCTAGGCTGGATTGTGACCTGCGAAAATGCTGTTTGCGGAAGCCTGCTGGAAAAGGGTGGCTGCCTGCAGCACTGGGTTCTATGAATATGCTTTTCATCTATATATATAACTTTTAGACATGTGTTCTTTTTGTGTCCTTGGAGGAGTACATTCAGGCAGCTGTGTTGAGGAGAAGGCTGGAAAGGCTTGCTTCAAAGGAAAGCATCACTTCACAGCCTACGGGAAAATGGGTGTGTGGGAGCCCTAGCAGCCCGAAATCACAACCCAAGCTGTCAGGCTGTCAGTGAAGGTCCGACCACAGGTTGGTCCAAACGGTTGTCCAGCCGATTCTGGTAACGGTGCAGTCTTTTTTGGCTACTGTAGACTTCCTCCGCGTCATGTGCTGCTACATGTTCGTTTTGCAGCTGTCAGCTTCATCAAGGTGCAAGCTGCGGTGAGGACAACAAGCCTGAGCGGCAGTTTGCGCCTTGAATTGGCTTACCCGCTTACCCCCATTGTATCAACATCTTGCCTGGAAGTCTAGGAATCTAGAAAAAGGAGAAAGAGGACGAGGAAGAAAGACACAAATGAGAAAAACCAACCACATAAAGAAAAATCAAAACAGTTGAACAGAAAGAAGAAAAGACACATCGAGAAACAAGAGGGGTGTTAGAGAGGCTCAGTTTTTGGACACTTTTGTCCTAGCAGGAGCGCTTCTTGAAACAAGAGAGCTGCTATGACTGAGTCTATGACTGCTTCGGCTTTGCTAGAGCCTGTACCATGCACTCGGTGTGAGGCGTTGCAACAATTGCGGGGGTCCGGCTCCATGGGTGCATCGATCTCAGAGGCTGCTTTCATTGTCTCCTTGCACATGCCGCATGAGTTCTTTGTGCCGTTGGCTTGCTAGCGGACAGACTGCCACTGACTACACCAAACTACAGGAATTGGCCATAACATCCGTTTGCACTCGGTCCGTCTTTGATGTGTGGATGTGTTCTTCTTGCTTTCTGCCTCTCCGCCACAACAATCCAACCAAAGAATCTAAAGAGAACGACAAAGTTTCCCTAAAAGCCCAGGAACCAAATAAAGCGTGAGCTATCCTGCGTCCTGTCAGTAGTAGCTACTTGTTAGCTACCAGTACTACCAGCTACCTTTTCCACTAGCTACCAAGCTACTACCTACCTCCACGGCCTACTCCCTCAACAAAAAAAACAGGATGTTGTTGTTGAATTTGCCAAGGCCAAAGTCTTTTGAGGTGCGATCTTCCACCTTCGCACACGGCCCATGGGGAGGGGAATGGCGTTTCCTGGCAGTTGGGAAGCACCTTGCAAGTGACAGTTGGCAGTGCGATGATTCGTCACCCTACGTCACCACTAAAAAGATTGAACATTATATATTTTTACCATTTGTGTGAGCCATTTCATCATTGAAACTTGATAATTGAGCGACACTTCTGGCTCCACTTCCGTAGATGTGCATTTTTTTAAAGCCGGACTCTTATGCCTGGTTTATCCTGGCTTGCCACTGATTCTATGTGCTTCATGCCTTGCCATAGCATTCAGGGAGACTCTGACGGCGAAGTCCTGGAAGCTTAGGCCCGCGATTGCAATCGCGATGGCAATGGCATCTGCAACATGTGGTTAAAAAACACTCCATGGCCTGATCCTCAGAGGATCGGAGAGAGTCTTTTGTCGTTTTGCACTTTCTGGGCGAGCCAGTTGAGTATCTGACTTTTTCAGGCCGAACTTTCGACAGGGCTCTTGAAGCGGTAAAGGACCTCAGCCTTTCCAATTTATGTTGAAGTGATGTGCCGTTGTGGCCGGAATAGGGGGAAGCTAAGCCCTACCTGCCACTTGGGCAGCTCGCAGTCACACTTGGACTGGGTCGAAGACGCAATGTTTGTAATCTAACTACACAAAAGGTATCAAAAAGGTGTCATTTTGTTTCAAAACATGTCGCTAGCCGCTGTCTTGGATTTCTCCCTTGCAAAGATCTTTGTTGGACAGGCCTCACAGTCACCTTGAAACTAATATTGTGGCTTGGAATTACGAAGGCCAAAATCCTTGCGCCACCTGGGTATATCCTAGATCGTGGCGATCAGATCGCGGCCTTCGGACCAAGTAGAGTGCTTGTTGATATACTATATATACTGTAGATGGATGGGAACCCGTTTGCTTCCCTCAAGGCTTGTCTCAAAGACTTAAGACCCAGCCGTGACTGCCGTTCCATGAAAACAGTTGGGCAAGAAAAGCATGAATACTAGGTCATACTAGGCCGCATATGCATCCGTGTATGCATAATTTATAATTGTACCTAATTAATCTATTACACAATAACATCTTGTCAAATGGCGAAGGCTCACGGACGAACGATGGATAGAGATGGTTGACAGAAGCAAAGGAAACACCCAACTATGCAATTCTAATAGACTCTGCGAGCCTGGTGAGAACATCAATAGCATGCCCCCCTGCAACAATAGAAGGATCAATGAGATCAAGGTAGCTGCAACTGACTCTAACTGTAAATTCATGTAAATTCAAATTCATCACGATGTTTGGGTTTTTCGAGCTGGGCTGCACCATCCAAAGGACTAGCTTGGCATTTGATGAGGCGTGCCATGATACTGAGTGACAAACACCTTAATTTCAAGATATTATTGTGTGTTTTAAGCCCGACAAGTGAGGATATTACCTAATTACTAAAGTGCCAAGCGAAGCTGAATTGCTCAAGCCATCCCTGCGGGAGCGTGCCTGTGATGTCGCAGGCGGTCTTGCGTTGCTAGAAACAAACGAGTGAAGCACAAGAGACCACCGTGCTTCCTTGCTTTTGACAGGTTGTCTCCCGTGGACGGACACCGCTGAAGTCTGCCAGTGCTCCTAGCATACAAGGCTCCACAAAGAGCACGCAGAAGACTCTGAATTTGGGTGGCCAGCCTGGCAGTGGTCTTAGCGCAGGCGCGTTTTAACCCCCTTGCTCACAACACGTCTAGGGTCTAGGCAGGCTTGGCTGTCTAGACAGCAAATGGTCCAAATCTCGTTTTGCCTTGTCCATGGCAGGTGCCTGCTTACCAGATGATGTGAAAAACGCCACCACAGGTCTCAGTGCTGAACCACATCCTCTGAAGCAGGCCCCACCTGACCGTTTCAGGCGACTTCTTTGTCATTCTTTAGCCTTTGCTAGACCGGAGGCTGAGTGGGACCCAAGAGCTTTTGTTGATGAAGAGTCTTGGATTGCAACAGCTAGTTCGCCCATGGTCTGACGGCGGCCATGTTTCCTGTTGCCACAGGCAGCTTTCAGTTGCTGGGATGTCAGGAGATGAGGCGCGAGCAACAGCAATGGGCGGCACTTCAAAAGTACAGAGATGGGCAGCACGGTTGCAATCTTTCGGCCGTCACAGGCACTTTATCCAACATCGGAAGCATGTATGTCCTTTCGCATGGCCCAAGAAACATTTAAACTATCCTTGGTAGCTGGATTGAGGGCTTTTGGAGCAAATGACTGACTGATGGATCAGGGAACAGCAGCTGAGGCTTGCAAAGCAGATAGAGGAGAATAAGGTCATGAGGCGAGCTGACGTAGAAGCAGGAAAGCCTCCAAATGTGAAAATGGAGTTCTCCGGAAGGTAAGATACAATGAGTGAGTGGATGAGTGAGCGAGCGGTACGGGATGCACGTAAGTATTGTCCGAATGTTTGCCAGTTTCTGGTTTCCCGGAGCTCATCCCGCTGGCCATAATTGACAATGCCAGTCATGCCCTTGTTAAAGTAGCTTCTTGTTACTTGTAGTAATGCACTTGTTACCGGTAGCGATGCACTTGTGCTAGTCTCACCCACTCTCATCGAAGAAAGCTCACAGGCAAGCAAGGAGAGATGAGCACCATGACTTGGTAAAGACCATCACGGCAGAGACTTTGAAGATGCAAGTCCGGGAGAACAAAGAGAAGGCAAGCATGCTTGAAGGGAGCTTGTGGAAATAGAGGAGTTCCAATGGAGCACCATCATAAAGTAATGAAGCTTGGGTCAATTTTTCTATTTTGCCAAGCGCATGGGCAAGTCTGAAGTTCTGTGGTGGTTTGTCATTGGCATTCTATCATTCCTTTGCCTGGAGGAGGAGCTCTCGCAGAAACGCCGGAAGATGCGGCAGAACCTTGATGAGCAGATGGCTTTGCAGGAAGAACGTGCAAAGGAAGCGCGGCTGCACGATTTGCTCGAGGGTGCCGAGGTGAAGGCGCAGAGCCGAGACATGAAGAAGCAAGACATGAAGGAATTACACTTAAAATATCAATTGAACAAGTAAGTAGTTGCCATATAATTAATGAATATTAACGATATACTGTAATGTTATATAGATTCTATAGTTACTAAACCTATTATTACTGTAGTAAATTAAGAAATCAAGTTCAATGGTTTGTGAGGGGCACGAGGGGGCTAGCCAATACTTAACCTGGGGTCCAGAGCCTTGAAACTTCTCTCTGCATCGAATGGGTGGGGCAAAAACTGCCTTCACGAACCCTGATGTCAATCCAATGCAAAAACTGTTAAACATTTTTGTTACTAGTAGCGTAGCTTCTTGTTACTAGTAATGGCCTCCAACCTACTAGCGATGGCCTCCACCTAGTAGCGTCCTTGCTCCTATTGCATGGTTAAAGCAGTCCCAGATTTCTGGGGAATTCAAGAAGTACGAGTACGGTCAGGCGCAAAGCATGCAGCTCCTGTATGAAGAAGTAGAGGCGCAGAAAAAGCGGAAAGAGGCGGGAGGGCAAACAGAAGCACTTGATTTAACGCAGGCCCCACCTCGAATTTTTGGGAGAGACTGCACCAATGCTTGTCAACGAACTATTGCAGATCCGCAAGGGGTGCCTTTCTTGACCTGTGCAGGACATGAAGAAGCGAGGGGACGAGATGTCACTTAGTGCAGACAGAAGTGGCAGTTGTGCTCGGCCTTTTTCATGTTCTTCTGAGTGTCGCCGAAGAAGAGCAACCATTTTTCATTCCTGGATTCATGTGCTTAGGCGACAAGAAGTCGCTCGTCGAGCCATGAAGAAGAGCGACAACAGACAGCAGGATGCTTGTCCACTTCAATATAGTAACATGGTGAAGCTGGCAAGCGGCACTTGTTTTTTTCTCTCTTGTTTGGTTGGAAGATGCTAGAACAGTCTGTCAAAAGCAAGAGTTTTTGGCATAGCTAAGGATCGCGAGGATATGCTGGCAAAGATGCGCAGTGACGACTTGCAGGACCAGACATTAATCAAACAAGAGTTTGAACAAGACAGAACGTGTCAGTGTTGACAGGAGGAATACCGACAGGCCATGAAGCTCGAGCGCTTACGTGCACACCAAGCAAGATCAGATGCTCGAGAGGCAAGGGCCGCCAATTGGGGTGTGCAGCGACTATCAGCGTATGACAATCAACTTCACAACTCCAATAGAATCCGTCAGTACCATGTCATGTGTTCGGCAGCAACTTTGGCCATGGACATTTGTGGATTGTAATGGCTGCTTGAGTTGTGAGGCTCATTACTTTGAGACTGCTGGCCGTGCCGGAGCTGCATGGTACATGTGATAACGGAAAACGTGTAGTCAGTGTAGTCCATACGAATGAAATTTGCTTCGTGCTCCGGCGTTCCACTTCAGTAACGTGTTGAAGCATGGGTAAGTTTGGAAGATTTGCTGCTTGACATTTTGTAAATTGAGGCGAGCTTGACCTTCGCAACTCACAGGAGGCGGAGAGGCAAGACCGCTGGAAGCTTAGCACTGACGGGATCCGGGCGAGGCACGTCTCCAGTGGAAGCCAAAGTTGAAAGTACAGTGATGTTGAGACATGTTGAGATGCGTGAGGCGATGAGAGGCAGCACAATCTTCGCTTGGACTTGCACTACTCCAGGCAGTTGTAGCTGGCATGGATTGCTTCAGTTTTCATTCGCTCAACACGGGGTGCTTCACAACGCTTGAGCAGGAGCACGAGAGACAACACAGATGCCCATGCACATGCATGCTCTCCAAAACTCATGCAACACAGCAGTGCTTTGTTTGCACGGCACTTTTGACAGACTCAAGAGGCACAAGGAGGTGTGATATAAGATGATATAAGATATGATGTGGCGCAGTTCTGGTTGATAGGCGTGAACATGGCACACCGAATCATACACTAGCAACATGTGGTGCATACAGTAGTGTGTTCTTTACATGAAGATCCCCGAGCCAAAGAGTGACTACCAAGCACGCTAGTGCTCTGCTAGTCATATACCCGTGACCAGTTACCTGGTGAGGCGAGAGGCTGCCAGGAAACAACAGCTCGACAAGGTGCTGGGTGAAATGCGCCAGCAGCTGCTTGATGGAACTGGCCAGTGCCTGCATTGCCAGTGCCTGCATTGAGAACTTTCTACAACACAAACCTATGTTTGTTGAACCTTCCTTACACACACACACAGATATATATATATATATATATGATCTTATAATATACCGTATTTTTTCTTTTCCTCTCTCTCTCTCTATAGACACGTAACCACGTATTTCGCTCCAACGGCTTTTGGTACTTTCGGCGCGTTTGTCAGCTGCTTCTGAGGCTGGGAGCTTCAGACGACCAAAGGGGCTTGGACCGATTGCGGCAGGCATCTACCGGCATCGCTACTAATAACAAGAAGCTATAAGCGCATCGCTATTAGTAACTGTGCATCGCTATTAGTAGCTATTTTACAACTATATAGTAACAAGAAGTAGCTCCTGGCATTACTACTAGGAACAAGAAGCTACTAGTAACAAGGGCATCGCTAGTAGTAGCTAGAAGCTTTGAGTTGCTTTATCGATTGGTCGATGTCGTCAAGGCATCCACCCATAGCGATCTTCTTGTGTGCATGTTCATCCTTGTTCTTGCACGTCGGGACCTTGCACCACATTAGTGCCCATGCCATTATTATGGTGCTGCAAGTGTCATATTTTGGGAAGGGAGCCTCGATGGGTTGGACTCGATCACATCATCCCCCTCCAGCTCAAAGTTAGGGGTGTCACGGAGGCTGAAAGCAGCCAAGCCCGAAGTTGAACAAATGGTTTCAGTAGCCCACGGAGTAGCAAGCATAAAATCGTGAAGGTTAAGCAGCAAGCTGAAAGGACCTCACGGGAACATAGACGGCAATGGCTTCAAAGCAAGAAGCACGTGTGATGGACGCAGGTTCGGTTGTAAACGCGGTCCCTGTGATGAGTTGTTCACGCGGTGTGCTCTTCATTTGGAGTTAGCTTCCATCTTTTTACAAGAACACATCTCCACTCGACCCCATCACCCCATTCCCATGCAACCTCTGTGTGTGCAGCTCATCCAGGTTGTGTGTGTGCGCAGCTTGTCCAGATTCTGTGTGCGCTCTGATCCCGTTTCGTGTGCGCAGCTGATCCTGTGTCCCACGTGACCGGCCTTCAACCCAAGAACAAGCTAGTTGACTTCATATATATACATATATATAGAGGGACTGGAAATGAGGAAGTTCTTTTTTTGGACGTAGGACTGTATCACTGATGGCCTGAACGATCATTGAGTAGGACATGGATCAACAAAGGGCCAAGATGGGCCAAGGATCAGGGTGTTTTGCCCAGGAGAAAGAGCGACATGCTTTGAGCTCTGCCGCGCGCATTGCTGCTGAGACTGATTTGCAGAAGCATCGGCAGAAGCGAACTGCGGAGCTGGAAATGCAAGCTGAATTAGTGCCAGAGCAGCAGGATGATGCAGGATGTTGTTGTTCCTTCGGGTTCGTGGTCCCTTGCACGTGTCCTGCCCATGTCCTACCCCTCGTACATGCCTCCAACCTGCTCCTAAACAACAGTATGGCCCCCTTGAAAGTTAGCCTTGCAGAGTGCTTGCCCCTAACGTTTGCAGGTCAGTTTCCATGCCGTATAGCAACTCAGCATGAGTAGATAACAGTGGCGTCACTTCGTTTCGGTGCTGAGACGCGCACATGCCGGTGGGTTCCAACTCTGGCCCAAGGCCAAGATGATGATGGAGAAGCAGCAAAGAGAAAAGGATGGACTGGATGGACCAAAATCCCGCATAACAGCATTATGCTCTATGGCATTTTGACGGCATGGGGTGATTTTCTCTTCCCTTTGAAAGAGGTATTGTTTATTTTTTGTATACCGACACATCAGGCGCCGAGGGCTTGTCTCATGCCTTCATGCCTCTCATGCCTTCAAATTCGACTGAGGCCATAGACCAGGCCTTTGTGGATATGACCATTGCGCGAGCTAGCGGCAAAGCTGTCCCCAAGTCGGACAAACCTATGCACCAAGTGGACGCGTCAAAGGATTTGAGCAGTTCGGTTGCAAAAGGGCCCCCAAAACGTGATTCGGGTGGAGTATATGTTTGTGGAAAACATTAGTAAGCCGCAAGCCCTCCGTGCAGATCCCTTGTCGATACCTGATAAGTCGGACGACATCAATGGTGTCCGAGGCAAGCCTTTAGGCAAGCCACGCGTCAAGCCATGGGTTGATATAGCCAAAAGCCACGGCCCAGGAGGCATGGGCCATCATGGGCCGACAGCAAGGGCTGGGGGAGACGGAGTTCATGGGCTGATGCTGAGACAATCACTTCCTAATGGCAAATGTGTATGAGGAAGTCCTGTGAAGCAAAGTCAGTATGTAGCATAGTGTTCCCCACTGGAACTGAATCAGGAACTCTGTGGAACTCCACCCCCTCCCCCAAAAATCCATACACTCATACACTATTTATATTCTATTTCCTTTATCAGAGGAATTGGAATCGCAACTAGATCTGGATCTAGAACTGGAACTGGATCTCCTTCACCCAACAAATTAATTTCACTGCAGGAGTTGACATGACCACTGGAATTGGAGCTGGAGCTGGATCTCCTCCCCACCAAAAAGTCATCGAAGGAATCGACATGACCACTGAGACTGAAACTAGTAATTAACTAGATCTAGCACTGGATCTAGAACTGGAACTGGATTTGGAACTGGAACTGCCCCCCCCACCCCGTAGGCAGTGAGCACCACTTTGGAATTGGATCTGGAACTGGAACTGCGCCCCCCCCACCCCGTAGACAGTGAGCACCACTTTGGAACTGGATCTGGAACCGGATCTAGAACTGCTGCCTCCACCCCTGAGACAGCTACCACCACTGTAAAACTGGAACTGGATCTGGAAGTGGAACTGTTCCAACCACCAGGGGCACACTCTGCATAATGTGACCTGTGACAAGTCAGAATTGTTGGGAGATATTACTTGCTTGGAGTTGGATGTGCAGGCAGCGGCTGTTTAGTTTATTGTGCGTGAAGCAGAAGTTGTGGCTTGCAGGCGTTGTAGGTGTGTTCGGTGGTGATGGCCGAGTACATCAAAGCCTCATGGCAACGGGCGGAGCGCGACGCATCCTTACTGATGCAGCAGTCGCTCGGCATGAAAACCTGTCAAGGGGTCCATGTTGCCTTGCTGATTCAATCAATTGCAACTGAACAGCCGCTTATCAGAGAGCCTGCTCATCGAAAGGCGCGAAAGACCTGGTCAGAAGGAATAAGTGCAGCATCTTGCTTGCATTTGCAGAGGTTACCAGTTTCCAGATGTTTCCGGATGTGGTATGGCTTTCTGCCCGGCAGTCAGGACAAAATGAAGGAAGGCCAAAAAGCTGCTGAACAGCGACATCTTGCACAGCTGCACGACAAGAGCGATAGCCTTTGAGAATGGGATGGTTTCCAGTGCACAAAGTGTTGCCACCAAGTATTGCAAGAATGTGCAAGACGGCTGCTGTCAGAGAAAAACACGATCCAAAGTTCCGAAGGCTGTGCTTAATGATTTTCGATCGACCATATTTTAGACATGTGTCACGTCCTGGCCTTTGAGAACTCAAAGCCGGACACCAACTATTGGATTATTGGACCATATCAACATTTATGGTTTGTCCGTCATTTCCAAAGTGCATTGGTATAGCATTCTTCTAACTTCTGGTAATGAGTGGGTGTGTTTCACCCAAAAAAGTTTCACCCGTATATGCGGTACCTCAATAATCAGGCGCCGGTGTTGCGGAAATCAATGCGGCTTGGTGAGGGAAGGTGCAGGGTCAAGAGCTGCTCCCGGGTGCAGTTATAAAAGAGATTTGTAATGGTCCTGCAGAAGGGGGTCCAAAAAATCCATTGATCGGCCGGCTTGTGACAGGCTGTATGGTTCCAAGGAGGCTGATTGGAGCTACACGGAAGTATTCGATTCAGTGGCCATTGCCATGAAAGTAGATCTGACACCAGCAGTGTTTGGGTACTGTATTATTCCCTGGCAAGCTACCCGTTTTTGAGAGACCCAAGTTCAATCGTCATGCTTGTTTGAATAATTGTCTTTGGGTAGGCTGTTGCTCGACTCATTGTAGACGGGGGTTGGGCTGGCGCAGAAGCAAAAGTAGTCAGCATTCTGAGAACCGGCAGTCCATCACTGAGGTGAGTTTGGCGGTGGACTATCATGCAGTCTTCTCCTGCGTGTTAAAATGAATTCCTTTGCATTTGTGTCACCATTGCAACTTCACTGAGTAAATTGAGACTTTCATCCTCAGCCATTTAGCAGCAGCAGCAGCAGCAGCAGCAGTAGTAGTGCTATGGTGATCCAGGCATGAGATTAAGCTTGTGCTGTGCTACTTGTATCGAAGCTCCCTTTACTGCATGCATCGGAATACCCTGCACCGACAGACTCTTTCTTCCTTTATACCCTCTGGGTAAGTGGAACAAATTAGAGATGTCCAACCATCTAGCGATGGCCTCCAACCTGATAGCGATGGCCTCCAACCGAGAAGCGATGGCCTCCAACCCAATAGCATGATGATGTTGCATTTTTGCCAATGTTTTTCCGTGAGGTGAGAGGTTAAACATGTCCTGTACTTTGGACGAACTCTTTATCGCTTGCTCATTTCTTTGCTATGACCGTCCCGCGGCGTCGAAGAGGGTGGCAATGCGTAGCCGCGCTTTCTATCTCAGGCAGGTTGATCTACTGTATCTCCAAATGTTGATGTCAGTTTGGCAACCGGCTCCGGGCATGCATCGCTATTAGGTTGGAGGCCATTGCTATTAGGTTGGAGGCCATCTCTGGGCTGTTAGCCAAAACCTGAAGTCCAGGTGCTTTGCTGCTCCCATCCTTTGTGGTTCCGCAGGGCTCTCATGGCCACAGCCCACGGCTGCTGCGGAGAGCCAGCGACAGATCTGACGAAAGCAGCACGCTGGGTCTTTCTGTGCTGATTGCAGGGGCAGGTCCTGCAGGTACCAAGTTGCCACAGGGAGAAGCATCCCTTGTAAATTTTGACTTGCACACGGCACAGAAGTGACAGCAAGCCCCATGAAGATCCGCAACGCAAAATACCAACCAGAGGGAACAACTCATGAACTTGTTGTTTGGATGTTGTGTTTCAGTGCCAGCAAGATTGACCATTAGCCGTGAAAACCTGACGAACCACTGTGCGCTGAAGCACATTCCTCTGGGATCGTTTGGGCCCTGCTAGGTTTGCTTCTGGCAGACCGGCTATTGTCAGCTGGATGCTCCGTACATATAGTTGAGGCACGCCAAGACCCTAGGAGTGGCAGCCTCGAAGGTCGAGCTTATGCACTCGGTCTTGGCCTCCGGGCGCAACAGACGATTCGGACAGGGCACTTGGGGCAAGTGGGAAAGCAATAAGAGTGGTGGTTGCTCCAAGAGCAGTGGTTTGAATTATATAGACTCATCCCCTTCCAGGACCGTTGATGACAAACTTTGGGAGACTATCAAGCCCAGTGGCTTTGCCAGCGAGCGTTTCAAGCTCCATTTGTCCCCCAAAATCGTGGAGTGCTTAGTCTCGCAGTTGTTTTGACAGATTCATGAACGCTTCTGATTGTGTCCGAGAGTTTGCAGGTGTAGGAAATTGCATGACATGCGCAGTATCCTGAATATCTTGTGGGACATCCTTCGGCATCAGGCTATTGACCTTCGAACGCCGGAAGACAACAATGGCCTTGAACCAAGCCTCTTGATCTACCAGTCAGACCTGTGCTCCGCTATGTTGGACCACTTGGAAACCAACTTTGGAGGCACCCACTTGCAAGCATCACACTTCTAATCTAGAATCTAAACACCTCATGATTCAACCATTTCCTTGGAGCACAGCATGCAACCCTAATGGCCCTAGACGGAGGGTATGTCCGATGCACTGCATGGTGCCACATGGGACATTTGTGTTTTTTTGGGTATTCCACGTCACCGTTTTTCAAAGCATGAGCAGTGCTTGATGGCGATGGTGCCAAGTTCCGCGGACATAGATGCAATAGCATCTGCAGTTTGTTGAAACTGAACATGAAAGCATTGCGAAGCATTGCTTCTTTTCTTTTGTGTGCCTTAACATGTGCTGCACCTGCACATTGCTTGTCCGGGACAATCCCCAGTGTATTTGGTCTTGACCACTATGCAACTAAACTGTGTTTGTAACTTTTTTTGTGACCGATTTTCCAAAAAAAGCGTTATAGGCAGTTGGGATTGCATAGTGCCACGCTTGTTTCAAGGCTCTTGCACTATTGTCTATTGTATGGATTCAACTTCTTTTGGGCTTGTGTTGTATGACCGGGTGCTGGCAATGAACAATTGATGTAGGTCCTCGCTGTCAGATGATGCTGTTCACGGGCACATGGGAAACCTGTATGCAAACTAAATATAGACTGCCTCGGGCAAACTGCTGTGAAGGAGAGGGAGTGAGGGAGAGAGAAACCCTGGCCATCGCTAGTAGGTTGGAGAGAGAAACCCTGGAGGTTCGGGAAGATTGCGAATCTCTTTCCAAAGCCGCCTGAAGTTCCTCAATGCGGCGACAGGTGCCTCAGCGCTTTCCTTGTCAGGCTTATTCTCAGATCTCTGGAGCGACGGGATATTCTTTTCATTTAATATATACCTATCTTTGAACGTAAATGCCGGATTGCCAGGATGTTGACCACCTTGTGTGTGAGGGCAACTGGTTGCTTCTCACAGACCATGTCAGGTGCTGCAAGTGTGCAGAAAGGTGAGCAGCTAGAGGAACTGCCATCAGCGGATTTGGTAGCAGGTTGTGATGGTGTAAACTCTGCTGCTGGCTTGTCATGTAAAGTTTTTGTTTTTTTTCTCTATGTCTTCCCCTGGAGTCAAGACTCACTTGGAAATCAGTGCAGCATGCAGCTCAATCATGCAACCGGGATCAATCATGTTGATACATTCCAAATGTTGCAGCATGTTGCAAGGAAGACATGACAGTCACAGCGAATTGCCGACTTGAGGCTGTCCGCTCAAGCATAGCAGCGGCCTGCCCAGCGTTTGAGGTAGGAGCCAGGGTGAAAGATGCTCATTCACTAATCTAAATCAATTGCATGCTATATGTTTTGCCTGAGCCACCCGGAGCAATCGACTTGACCAATGTGACCCGCAAACGTATAATTACATTTTACATTTATTGCATTTGCACCAGGTGGCGCAGACCAAACTGCCTGGCAGCTTTAAAGTCCTGCGGTTTCCTCAGCACCATGGCTGAAGACTGAACTGTTGGCAGGTGGTCGCAGTAACAAGTGCTCGGCAGGATGTACTACAAGTAGTCACTTTACTCCCCCTCTCTCTCTTTGTTTTTTTCTCGGTTCTTTTCTGTCACGCCAAAGTCAAGGCGAGCCACGGCATTCTAGCCAAAAGTGGCAAAGGGCCAAGGATCGTTCGCCTTGCAGCCCATACAAAGTCATCAAGACTTCCAGTCCTGATTGCTCGTCAACTGTCCGAGCTCATTGGGAACCTCAAAGTGGTTTGCCCTTTGCGACTGGCACAACCATTTGCTAACCAACTCTGAACTCTTCCATCTTGCTCTTTGGAGGTTCGGTGGCACTTCTGGCATTCAAGCCATTCCCCCCTCTTCCACACATCGTGGCTTGGATGGATGCGAGTCCGTAGGTTCAGAGTCTCCTCAGTCATCCTGGTATAACGACATTGAGATCCTTTCAACTGCTCTAAAGCTGCCTTGCCACTGCGCAATGGAATCTTGGCCCAACAGCGGCTGCATCCAAAATTGGTCGCCCGCATGATCCAACGGTGCCCTGGCTGGTCTTCCATCATCTCCTCCGTGTGCTGCACCAATTCGGACATGGTTTGCTTCAAAGTCTTGGAGACAGTGCCAGGGCAGGCTGTGGCCTGCTTGCTGCTGATTTCCCCATGAGTGTTGCAGCCCTTGATTTTTTCGCAGTGCTCACAAATCACTCCGTGGTGGTGATGAAGCCACTTGTGTTGGTCTTTAACGGAGTTTGTTGGACCAGCTGGTTGAAGAGCTCAACCCTTCCTTTGGGTTTGGCCGGCTTGACCTTGAAACTCCGTTTCAACCTTCTCAAGTTTGCCATGCATATAGTGATCCGGATCACCCAGGATGGCACTGATGCGGCCGGCAGCAACCTCATAGATGTGCTGATGTTTCACATCTTCTGCCTTGAGCTCAGCCTCCAATGCTGTGGGTGCTTCCTTGGCTGCCCTGCCTTTAGCGGCCAATTTGGCCTCGAGGAACTGCATCCATGCCTTGGACTCACCTCCTTGCTCTTTCAGAAGCTTCTGTGGGACGTGAAGCAATTGCACCCGCAGCCACTCCTCCTCCGGCAGGTTGTGCCACAGATCTGGGCCAGTCTTGCCAGCGGCCCCTTTCTTGAGGGCTTCCCAGCCTGCTTTGCTAGGAATATTGACTTAATGTTTTCCAAGGACAGCTCACTCCC